AATGTAAAAAATACGGTACTTTATCTTACCTTAGTGTTATTCAGCATGCAGGTACCCCTAAACACTGGCACAGCACTATCACTTCCACTGGGAGTCTTGGCTTTAAGGTCCTCAAACAATTGTTTAGCCTTCTCACAAATTATAGCTTCACTAATGTTACCACCTGCCATTTCTTTCTCCTTTATTCACACTAAGAGTAAATTTTCCATCTCTTCAATCACATTACACCTTGCTTTGCTAAGTCTAGAGATTCCCTTAGCCACTTGCACTGTTTTTAACTCCCCTTTATTCTTCAAAATCGTACATATAGTCGATTTAGCCATCCCATGTTCATCACTAAGTTTCGCAATGCTTCTTCCATTCTCACATTTCTTTATAATTTCTTTCTTAGTTTCAAGGGTTATTAGCTTTCTCACTCGCTTTGGACGATTCATTGTTACAATTGTATACTTGTACAACAAAATAGTTATACAAATAACGCGAATTTCCACATTAAAAGACGAAATTTCAACAATAACAGTGGTGCACTGGCTACACAATGAGAAAAACATGGCGCCTGACGCTCTTGTTGTGGGTCGCGGTACAACAATATTCATGCGCCAGGCGAAATAGTCCCGTATTCATCCGCGTTCGTTGTAGGAGTTGCGTTCGTTATAGCATTCTCAATTTTATAGGTAAAACCGTTCGTTATAGGAATATTCGTAGTAGGATCCGTTCGTTATAGCATACCCCACTGTACTGTACATAAATAAGAGTAGTGGTGTCATATAAGCAAATTGAAAATGCTCTTTCTTTACATCTGTGTACTGTACTAGTAATTTCCTCTCTGCAATTGTATGAATTGTAATAAACACTATTTCCATATCAATATAGATTAAAGACAACAAATTGATATTTTTTAGCCAATATGAAACTATACAGATCTTTGCTAATATACTGTACAGTACTAATAAATTCCCAGAGTTGCAAGCTGTACATTGTGGCCCAATATAACTAGATATACAACTAATATAATTAGAAAAAGAAAAGGTAATTATTTACCTCACAGCCGCTGATTTTTCATAGAAAACTTATTTAAAAACACTGCAATTTCTCTATTTCACAGTGGACACTGCCGTGGTTATGGCAAATATGTTAAAATGTGTTTATTTAAAAGTTCAAGTTATGTTAACCTAACCTGACTTAACCTAACCTAGCATAACACCTGCTGTAGGCGAACTTACTGTTACCAAGATTGGGTGGGGGGAGCGGCTGTGAAGTCGTCCATATTAGCCAAAGAAAAAAATGTTAGAGTAATCCAATATCAGAAAGCTCCCTTACGCTAATATACAGTACTAGGTAAACTCATGTAGTACTAACCTGTGCCAAGGTAGTGAAGAGTGACAGACAATCGTTCACCCAAAGAAACCGACTTCGTCAAGTGATTGTCCTTCTTAGATATGAGTGGCATCACCATATGCAGTAATTCATCAAATTTTGCCTTTGTCATGCGATGGAAATCATAGAATGACTACCAGTAGGGGTCTTCCAGTCACAGTTCCTGTACTAAATTATGCCAAACACTTTTATTTTCTCTTCTTGCCAACCAATTGCGTACCCACACATCTCACTAAAGCGGTTAATGCTGCCATAGAAACATATAAATAAATCCTGCTCTCCATCTGAGCTCAAACTAGCCGCACGAACTGGGCGCCTGACCGACGGTTCCTTTCGCCAGTGTGACCAGTGTGTGGATCATACCGTTGATTTATTGCCTGTGGATGAAAAGCTATCGTAGATTTAGTGGACGAAAACTCTAGTGTGACCGTAGCTTCATGAGACTAATGAGAATGTGGTGTGTTCGTCAGTGTCTGTCTCTTACCACAGTACCATCCATGGCGGTCTACATGGTACTGACACCCTGAATTACATCTTGGACAATTTACAGATTAAACACTAACACCATGATCCCTAAAAATATTAACGGCTGCTGCTTCATTGTCCAAAATGCGCTGTAATGCGCCAGCAAGCCATATACTGTTCATCCTTCTCTCACAGACGCCATCTTCCAATTGCACACGAGTATTACATCAGCATACGCTGATTGGCGCTCACGACTATAACATCACATCAACACTCACGCTGACTGGTCAAATATTATAAAATAAGTTAAAATAACTCGAAAACTATAAATTTCCGACAAACGTTTGTTGGAAAACTTGTATTAGTGCACACAACTCTGTTAGAAAGTCAAAACTATGTTTTTCAAGTGCATTTTTGTGTTTTGATTGGTTTCGACCTTGATTTCCGTCAGAAATTGCCAGCTTTTTAGTTACTGAGGGTTTTGGGTGGGGTGTTTTCCGACAAAAATCATGGTGAAGAGAATGTAAAATACAAAAAAAAGAACACTAGAAAATCATAAAAACTGAACCTTTTTTGGATGACCTGACTTGACCTGACCTAACCAAAATAACCTGACCTGGCCTAACAAAACTTGACCTAACCTAACTCTCACTATATGACGGAATCACTTATTTCTTACCTTATTGGCCTGGTTCTGGTTCGTCGTCGGATTTACTATAATGCCAACTATGTTGGTCTTCACAATATTTACACTCGTTCTTACACTTTGGACACTTTGCTGAGGTCAGAAGAACACCATGAGTTCTAAAAAATGCTATAGCTTGTTCTTTTTTTCCCCAAAATGCGCAATCAACTCCATATAATTGAAGTGACACCCATCCCAGACATCCATGGTCGGAAATGAATTTGAATTTCAAAATATGAGACCCAAAACCACAATCGAATCTGATTAGGCAAAAAAAAAAAAGCTTTTGATTGGCCGCGTGACGTGTACGGGAACACATGTACGTGATGATTTATGAAGGAAACTCGCTGAGTGGGAGGTCAGGTAGGCGATAATGGCGGAAGATTAATGGAAGAAAATAGAGAAAGATCTGGCAAGCGATATCTCCGTTATTATACGTTTGCGATGGTTATGCAATAGAAGAAAATAATCTTAAAATTAGACATCTTTGGTAAATTTGTATAAATGCACCCAACTGTTAGAAAGTAAAAAATATATTTTTCTAGTGTATGTGTGTTTAGACCGATTATGACCTTTATTTCCATCGGAAAGTGGCCGTTTTTTTTAATCGATCTTTTTTCGTGGGACTTTTCCGAAAAAAGCTAAGCAAATACAAAATACACAAAAAAAACACTAGAAAAACATAAACCTGACCTAACCTAACTGACTCTCACCATATGATGGAATCACTTATTTCTTACCTTATTGGCCTGGTTCTCGCTCGTCGTTGGAGTTACCACAATGCCACATATGTTGGTCTTGACGATATTTACATTCGTTTTTGCACTGAGGACACTTTACTGAGGTCGGGAGAACACCATGAGATCAAAAAACTGCTATAGTTTCTTCGTTTTATCCCAAAAAACTCGCAATCAGCTCCATATAATTGAAGTGACACCCATCCCAGATTTCCAAGGTCGGAAATGAATTTGAATTTCAAAATATGAGACACAAAATAAAAATAGAATTTGATTGGGCCAAAAATACCGCAAATTAAACCACAAATCATTTTAATTAGTTAAAAAAAAATGCTTTTGATTGGCCGCATGATGTGTACGGGAACGCATGCACGTGATGATTTATGAGGGAGACACAGTGTGGGAGGTGAGGTAGGCGACAGTACCACAGATCAAGGATTTATCTTATGAGGAAAGACTAAGGAAATTACAGTTACCGACACTGGCGTACAGAAGATCTCGTGGGGACCAAGTGGAAACATACAAGATAGTGTGTGGCATATATGACCAGGCATGTACAGCAGGAATGTTCCAGATGAGGGAGGCTGACACTACCCGGGGGAACACAAAGAAAATCTACAAAACAAGAGCGAGGCTAAATCTCAGAAGACATTCGTTCCCGAGTAGGGTTGTCAACAACTGGAATGGGTTACCTGAGTGGGTAGTGAATGTGGAGACGATGGAACGATAAATACTGGAAAAATCAAGAACAAGTATATACTTATAGGACACAAATATCCACCACACGCAGCCACCGTCTGAGTAGAGAAAAGGCTATTGAGCTGGAGTCACAGGCGTGAGCCTCTTCCAGAAGATCATCTGTGAGTATACTCTGTGACGATAATGGCGGAAGATTAATGGAAGACAATAGAGAAAATTTTGGATATGCTATCTCCGTTACTATACATTTGTGACGGTAATGTAATAGAAGAAAATTATCTTATAATTAGACGTCTTATTCGAATATGATAATAGATTAGGGGTAGGAATGTAGGGCGCGAAAATGCAATAACACCACATCTTTTTTGAATATGAAAAATAGAGTAGGGGAAAGAGAGTTGTGTGAATTACTATAAAAATACCCTCTTTTATACTGATAAGAGCAGCTGTGGAAAACCGAACAAAATTGAACAACTCCTTCTGGTTAGGTAGGTTTAGAGCTACACAACGATCGACTCACAGAGAAATAAATACCAAATGCCACTAGAGTCAGGGTCAAATATTGTTCTCGTGTTGTTCGCAAGTAATGGAAGATAAGCCAATAAGAGCACACTCATTGTAAAATAGCGTTGGCAGCAACTTGGCCAGTCACAACAAAAAATCCACTGCCTTTTATTTAATCTTATAAACAATACCAAAAAATTTCAAGTACAAAATTTAATTACAGACACACCAAGTTACCCATCATACTACAGTATCAAACGTACTATTTCACTACATTAAAGGGTAAGTAAATTATCATTTAGTAAATAAGTTAAGCTTAGCTTGACCATGTCACCATTCGTTGTGTATTGCATAATGCTTCTACACGACGCCCAGCAGACGATGCCTCACACGGCAACCACACACGTCAGCCTCCCCGACTCAAAATTATTGCTTTATACAATTCAGAAACTCACAAATCACCACAAAGTCTTTCAAATGGACCAAAATATTGATAACAACTAAATATTGAAATAAAAATAGACATATCTCACCATGGTTCTCTGGCGTACTCCTCCATGATTACAGCCAAACTCAAGTGAAAATTGATGTTAAGAAATACCACGAACAACCTGCTAATTTTTTTCTTATTTATTTAGGAGAGAAATAGAAAAAAATTGAATCTACCCAAATATAGTTTAAATTAAATAACAAAATTCTAGGCATTCTAAGGTATTTTGAAATATATTTGATTTGTTTGCATCGCATGGAAAATAAATTCCATTGCGTAATTATATTCGTAACAACATTTTAACATTAACTATCATTCCTGACTCAAACAAGTGACGTTCAAGATGCGCAAGTTAAACTCATTTAATATTTCAAAAAATTTATCCATTAATACGTGACTTACAATTTAATTCACAAACACTTTTTTATTTTTATCCGCTTCACCACTCATCGATTCGTTAGCCGCCTGGGCCATCGGTCACGTCTATGTCACGCACTGTTGGCAAGTACTGGGCATGCACCGGCTCCTGAGTGTACCTGAACCTGCTCCAGTGTTGGTCAAGTCTGGTCTTGAAGGAGCTCACACTCGGTGCCGTCAAAACACTTTTTGGTAGAATGTTCCAAGAGTTCACAACTCTCACTCCGAAAATGTTTGCCCTCACAGTTTTCTGGATCTGCGGCTTCTTCAGTCTTGAGCTGTGACCCCTTGTGGGGCGAGCGTCCGCCAGCTTCAAGTAAGGACACTCGGCTGAGAAATGCCTCTTGAGATACTTATACACATCAATTAGGTCGCCCCTTGCCCGTCTGTAGTAAAAGCAGGTTCAGGTACATTCAGGAGCCGGTGCATGCCCAATACAGTATAACCTTTTTTTCTATATTTTCAATTTCTTTCCGTTCTTTTTTTTCGCCCCCCAGGCTCCGTTGTGGGTCGTTTGCCCGGGTTGGCTAATTCCCGTAAAAAAAAAAAAACTTGCCAACAGTGCGTAATAGAGACGTGACCGATGGCCCAAGCGACTAACCAGCCGATTATTTGGTGAAGAGGATAAAAGAAAAGGAAAAGTAATCAGAGACGTGACTAATCGCCCAAGCGGCTAACGAGCCGATCAGTGGTGAAGAGGATAAAAGTAAAAAGTAAGGAAAAGTTCAGGCTCTCCAATCTCTCAGGGTAGTTGAGGTGCCAAAGTGCAGGCACCAGTCTGGTAGCCCTCCTTTGAAAGTTTTTAACCAACTGACAGTCCCTAGCATATCTCGGGGACCAGACGGGGTGACAGTACTCCAGATCGGGAAGCACTTCACTCTTGAAGATCGTTACGAGGGGCGGACCGTCTAGATATCTAAGCGACCTTCTTATAAGACCCAATAATTTATTTGCCTGATTTACCTTCTTCTCGCAATGGCCCGAGAACTTCAGCTCATTGTCAACATACACACGTAGGTCCTTCTCACATTTAGTCTCAAATAGTGCAGTTCCGTCATCCCGTTGGGACATATGATACGCCTCCTTACCGGTGGTATGCCCCAGGTGCATCCTCTTACACTTCGTGACATTGAATCTCAGCAGCCATTTCTTCGACCATTCTTGGAGCCCACAGAGGTCCTTCTGCAGCTCATCACAGTCCAATTGGTTCTTGATTTCCCGAAATAATTTGGCGTCATCGGCAAACATTTGTATGAAGGAGTGTACAACGTCAGGCAAGTCATTTATGACACAAACAAACAACAGCGGGCACAATACACTGCCCTGTGGTACCCCGCTTGTGACAGGTACACAAGGTACACAGGTACAGATGATGATTTCGTGCCATTAATCACCACACACTGCTTGCGGTCATGTAGAAAGTATTCTATTCAAGCCAGGACATTTCCCCGAATTCCGTATCCTTCCAGTTTGATTTTCAGCCTTTCGTTGGGTAAACTGTCGAAAGCCTTGGCAAAATCTAAGTATATATTGTCGTTATTACCACCCCGTTCCAGAAAATGGGTCCAAATATCCAATACCTTGAGCAATTGTGTTAAGCAGGAGCGCCCCAGCATACAACCGTGTTGGCAATCCTTTACAAGGTTGTTTCGTCGTAGATGTTCCATCGCAGCATATCTGATAATACTCTCAAGTACTTTACATATTATGCTGGTCAGGTTGACTGGTCTACATAAGAACATAAGAATGGAGGAAACTGCAGCGGGCCTATTGGCCCAAACTGGGCAGTCCCGTTTATACCCAACCCCTATTGCTCATATGAGCATCCAACCTATGTTTGAAGCAATTCAGCGTATTCGAGTTAATGATGATATTTGGTAACTTGTTCCATTCATCCACTACTCTGTTTCCAAACCAGTGTTTACCTATTTCACGCCTAAATCTAAATTTGTCTAATTTAAAACCATTGTTATGAGTTCGTTCCTGGTTGGATAGTTTGAGTACCTTTGTAATGTCCCCTTTGTTTAGCCCTGCCTTCCACTTATACACCTCTATCAGGTCGCCCCTCGCTCTATGTCTCTCAAGGGAGTGCAAATTAAGATGCTTTAACCTGTCTCTATACTCAAGGTTCCTAATGCCCGGGATTAGTCTTGTCATTCTCCTCTGAATTATTTCCAAGGATTCTATGTCCATTCTGTAATACGGTGACCAGAACTGAACTGCGTAATCCAGGTGTGGTCTCACAAGAGCAAGATACAGTTTTAGGATGACCTCGCTAGTCTTGTAACTAACACTCCTTTGTATGAACCCAAGTACTTTATTAGCCTTGTTACGAGCAAAAACACATTGTTTACTTGGCTTAAGGTTCCTACTTATCATTACTCCTAAATCTCTCTCGCAGTCGGATTTCTCTATGGCATCGTTGTTCATCTGGTATCTGGTTTCCCTGTTTACATCTCCTATACTGAGTACTTTACATTTGTCCACGTTGAATTTCATCTGCCATTTTTCAGACCATTCAAAAAATTTGTTTAGATCTTCCTGTAGTTTTGCCGAGTCCTCGTCAGATTTGATAACACGTCCTATTTTAGTGTCATCAGCAAATTTACTTATGTTGCTGTCAATGCCGATATCTATGTCGTTTATGAATATAATAAATAATAATGGTCCAAGTACTGAGCCTTGGGGAACTCCACTTGTGACGTTGCTCCAATGGGACTTAGTGCCGTTAATGCTCACTCGCTGTTTCCTGTCCTGTAACCACGCCCTAATCCATTTAAGGATGTCACCTTTGATGCCATGAGCTTCTACCTTTCTAATTAGTCTTTCGTGGGGGACTCTGTCGAAGGCTTTGCTAAAGTCGAGATATACCACATCATAATTGTTCCCCTCGTCCACCGATTCGAAAACTGATGAAAAGAATGTTAATAGATTAGTTAGGCAAGAACGTCCGCTTGTGAAGCCATGCTGGGAATCATTGATCAATCGGTGCTTCTCCAGGTACTTTCGAATAGAGTTTGAAATGATTGCTTCCAGTAATTTGCCTACTATTGATGTTAGACTGATTGGGCGGTAGTTAGAGGATAGTGATCTATCCCCCTTCTTGAAAATCGGTATTACATTCGCTATCCTCCAGGATTCTGGTACTACACCTGTTTTTAATGACATGTTAAACAACTTTGCTAAGGGCATACTAAGCTCTTGCTTACATTCCTTTAATACTTTGGCAAATATCTCATCGGGACCAGGTGACTTATTAGGCTTTAGTTTGTCTATTTGCTTACTAACATCGTTACTAGTCACTACTATCTCACTCAATTTGTTTTCTTCACTATCTCTGAATAGAGTCGGTGCCTCGGGTATCATGTTTAAATTTTCGGTGGTGAAAACTTTAAATTTTCGGTGGTGTTCTTAGAGTGACGATCGCCCTTCTTGAAGAGGACTCACATAAGCCACTTTCCAATCACTGGGGACCTTTTGTTCATCCAGGCATTTACAAAAGAGGATCATCAGGGGCTCGGCAAGCTCGTTGCACAACTCTCTTAGCACTCTGGGATGCACCATGTTAGGGCCGGGACTCTTATGGTATACTGCCAGATCTGGGGTCACTAATTCTAAGGGGGAAAACTTAACTATAGTCTTAATTTTAAGGGTCGCTGCCACCAGACCCCCTCTGGGCAGTATGTAGCTCGTTAGGTAGCGGGCAGAGTGGACTAGGCATTGGGTTAGGTTTTTCATTGACCAGATCGATAAGGGGAAAGAAGGGTGAAACCATAACATGTCTTAATTAATTTATTCCTTATAGAACATGCTGGTAAAAAAACATACAAGTGAATTGGCCTTCCTTAGAAGATCAACGAAGATGTTGGTTAACCTGCTCGGCACCAGACGTCTTACATTAATTGCGTGTCATCCACATACTTATTGCATAACAATCCGTGACCTCCTTACCTCGGTCATTCCTTCTTACACTACCCCTTAACACGTCAGACTGCTCCACCTGTATGGAATATAGCACCGTAAGTTATCATACACAGTAGCGCCATCTCACCTCCCTGTAGCACCATCTCAACACACCTGTTACACTCCACACCTGCAAGTATGGGACTCCTTGTAATTTCTAGGTGTACATAACAGGCACCTCGTTCGCACACCGCCCTCGGTGGGTAGAGACGAGGGCTACACCAAGAGACATGCCAGTACTATTTCTACGCCTGGTATTATAGGTCGCTCCAAGTGACGACCGCGGAGTTTCTCACGGTCTCCTTATTTGTTACTACTCATTTGGGGTGGTGTGCTGGGAATCCACAGGTTCACAGTGGATTGGCATAGCGGGGAGTAGTCTCCACCTGGTGGGATGCTCACAGGGATAATGGCCGCCGCCCAGCAAGGCACTCCGACCGCATGGGACCTGAGGTGACGGTAGAATGGAGGATTCTGAGAAATATTGCCTGATGGGCGGTTATCACTCACCCTAACACATTACTATTTCACTTACACATCAGGCAAAGTTTTAAACTGTAATAACTGCTATATAAGCCTTTTTTTACAGGGCGGGCTGTAGCCCGATAGAGGACACTGACCTGAGGTGACGGTAGAACGGAGGATACTGAGGGCAGTGCCCCACCACTCGTCACCGCGTAGGCCTACAGTTTCCAATCTTTAATTTTTACTTTTATTTCTTACGGTCATCACC